GAGAGAGAGTCATATTACATTTGTTACATAATAGAACCTAATGTTGCGTGACAAGTATATATTATTACATCCCCCTTTCCATTAAAAAAAAACAACTAAATTTATGAAACGCTTAAAATTATCTTAATGGAAAAATATCATATGTAATAACAGTAATACTACTTGCTCATGCTTGCAAGTGTCTAATTTTATTTATTAATTTTTTTTTTTTGTCTTTAAACGTATCTGTTGGCGGTCTTACGATTCTTCCACTTCGGGTAACTGTGGTCCCAGGTGCGTGGCTTCCGTTGTTTTCCACAGGTTCTGCATTGCCTCTGGTCTCTGTTAGTTCTTGATATTCACTGGTGGGTTGCTCTGCCGCTGGGGGTGCTTCTCTGATGTGACACCTGTTGCGTCGAAGCTCACTTCCGGTTTGTGACGTCACTAAGTATGAGCGTGGTGCTTCAAGCTTTTCCTTSACGACTGCAGGCTCCCACTTCTTGGTCGAGGGATTCTGAATGGTGATGTTGGTACCTCTTGCTAGCTCGGGTAGAGGTCTGACATTACGGTCGTGGTAGAACCTTTGGATTTCTTGTTTCTCCCTTAGCCAGTCGGTGATTTGATCTCTGTTGGCACTCCTGTTGATGGTGCGGGGTAGGTTATCTTGCAGCTTTTTTCCGAAAAGTAACTCAGACGGCGATGGAAGTTTATTGTCAATGGGTGTGGTGCGTAGACAAAGCAGTGCCATACTGGGATCCTGTCGTTTCTCGAGKGTCTTCATGAGAACACCTTTGACTGTTTTAACTTGATTTTCTATGAAWMCATTTCCTTGTGGGTAGTGTGGAGAACTGGTTACGTGGTGGAAACCATATTCGTTGGCAAATTCTTGGAATGCTACACTTTCGTACTGAGGGCCGTTATCTGAGCGGACTATTTTTGGGATTCCCTGCTCGCTGAAGATTTGCTTCATCGCATTAATGACAGTTCTGCTATTACTCTGCCCTTTGGGTATCTTCCTGACGAATGGGTATTTGGAGTAAAAGTCAGAGATCAGAAGGTATTCAGAGTCGTGTAAGTGGAACAGATCAGTTCCTATGGTGTGCCACGGCCGAGGAGGTATCTCAGTTGGCAGCAACGGTTGTCTGGCATTAGATGCCTGATGTTGTTGGCAAATGGGGCATGATTGGGTAATCTTATCAATATCGTTGTTAAGGTTCTTCCAGTACACAGAAGTTCTGGCTCTGAGCTTTGTCTTTTCAGCTCCTTGGTGTGCTGCGTGAAGCTTTTGTAGAATGCCATTCTGAAGCGTTACGGAAATGATGATTCTTTGACCTTTTGTTAGTATTCCGTCATCTATTCCTAATTCGTCTCTGAATGACCAGTAAGGCTTTGGGCTCTTTGAGACTTTTTTGATGGTTGATGGCCAGCCTTCGTAGATGACTTGCTTGAGGGTGGCTAATTCTTGGTCTGCGCTGGTGTTTTCATGAATCTTCTCAATCGTGGTCTTGCTAAATTGATGGTACACCTCATGTACTTGGACTTCCATGTTTCCAATGGGATGGTGATCTTCTGGTGATAGACGTGAGAGTGCATCTG